AAACCCTAAAACCCTAAAACCCTAAAACCCTAAAACCAAAAAAGTGGCCTGTTGACATATTGAGTCGAAGTCTGGCGGCCTACCATTGGACTCGTAAGCCCAACACCTCGCGGCAAACCGTGTACAATTCTCCAAACCGGCCGGGACTCTCTACGTGAGCGAGATATGAGCTTGTTATTTTTCTGATCCACAATTGAACCTAGCTAGCCGGGCGGCTGCTGCGGCCCCAACCAGTACGGAATGATCCCCGGCCCATCGTGTCCGGAACTCCGGAAATTGGCCCTCGTGGGGGGGGGGGCTGGAGGCCGCTGGGGGCAACATGAGTCTAGGCAACATTTGTACCCCTAGTTAATCAGTTAAACCTCAGAGCATTCTGAGGAGGGGGGGGGGCTGGTGGCCGGTTTTATTTTCGGAGTTCCGGACGCGCCTGCAGAAATGTTTTGACACAGATGCCTGGGCAACTTGAATTAGTGCCCTTGGGCCGGCCATGCATAGCTATACTAAGTAAGCTTTGATTGCAATTCAGCATTAGTACCATGCAATCACGGTGACTCCCAGCGCTGAGTGGGCCCCATCAAAATACTTGCTCCGGTGCCACTCGATCGTTGAAACTTAGTGTTAATGGCGGGCCGGCATTCACTAACATGCCACAATGACGAGCGTCTGATCGTCGACCAGGCTAGGCTAGCCAACCTAGCTTGAACCGAGTCACTCAAATTTGATGTTACGAATGATGAGTACGGTGCCATTACTAATGATGGCACCAATCAATCTATATATAAGCAGATTGTTGACTGTCAACGCGACTCCTAGCCTATGGCTGACCCGGATTGTGATCGCATGCTTGCTAAGTTGCGCGCCCGGCCCTTAATTGGATGCTGTGCTTGATTACTTTAGGATGCTCAGTGTCTAAGGTTCCATCCTATATATGTATACTAGCTGAGTCTGAACGTCTCATTGAATTTGTTGTCCGATTGAGTCTTACGTTGCGGTCACCCGGCGCACCGGCACGGCCGGCGCGGTATACCGCACTACATATACTGTGAGTAGCAGACCGGCCATGTGAGCTCGACGACGCGCTAGATGAAATACTTGAATCAACTTCAAGGCTTAGAACCCGGCCAGGCCATACTATCATGTTGGCACATGGCGGGTCTGAATGTGAGCCACTACTAGCCCTCACCAATTCATATAGTTCTGAAACAATTCTTATCAGCATTTGCAGTAGTCGTGTAGGGGAGAAAGCGTCAGCATGCTTCTCAAAACGTTGCACACACCTGCAGCCACGCGTTTTTTGAAACAATACGTGGCAGAGGCCGCATATGATGATCCCTGAAGCCTCTCTACGTTGATCAATGTGTAACTTATCTATCTACGCACAGACGATCAACCTACGCCAACGGATCAACATCTGGATCGGATATCGCGTTTTGGGATCCATACATGCAATTTCTCAATGGTTTGTGAGCCTGCACTAGCCGGACCAAAAATGCTTTGACATCTCAGTTTTCTGAGTTCTTTATTTTGGAGGTATAACCTGGTCCTTTTTTCTGTACTTTTCGGAGTCCGGAATTCCTTTCACTCTGTAGCTCCAGGCTGCATCTTTTTTGCCAACCACTGATGGCACAAGTCCATCACGTTCAGTTGACCCGTCTCACGAGCCTGCATGCAGCAATCGAGCAGATGTTGGGCTGGGAAGAGGCAACTCGTTCTTCTTTTAGATTGACACAAAACCCGAGTATCCTGGTATCCGTATGAGCCTGTTTCATACATATCAAGACGACTTTGCATGAGCCTCACGACAGCTTGATGCAGTGGTGGCGGGTGCCTCACCTGTTGCGCGACCAGCTGGACGTCCGCTGCACTGTCGGCACGCGATGCAAACTGGAAGGCACTCTTCAGGCGGCCGCTTGCCACGCATGCCAGGACTTTCCTGCACAGGATGGTCACAGCAGGGCTTGCAACAGTATGCCAAGCGCGGCACTGCAGTTTTAGAGCCGGCTCCGCTTAATTAGCCGAATGGCAATGTAATCACTTTGCACAAGTAATGACGCGATAGGAGCGCGGCGCGGTGGCTGACCGGTGGCTGTTGGAGAGCTGGTCGACGAGGTGCGCGGGGTGCTCCTTGTGCTGCTGCGCGTACACGTGCACGGCGGCCATCACCACCTGGTCGCGCTCGCCCTCGTCGATGGTGCCCGTGATGTTGCGCAGCAGCTCCGCCACGCCGCTGCCGCGCCGCCGCGCCGCCAGGGACGCTGCCGCGCCAGCATACGTCGCCACGGCTGCAGGAGGAAACGAGAGACGTCTTCGAAATGTTCCGAATCGATAGCGAAGTGATAGCGGGAGGTTCCTCGGGTTCGCTACGGCTGCGCAGGGAAGACGCATTCGACAGGCGGCAGGTGCATGTGCACAGATACGACAGAAGCTGCGGCGGTGACTGAGGCGTTTTCTTTTAGTTTTTAACCTGAGCATACCGAGCTCATCAGCTGGTAGCATTGGGACTGCTATGCGGCGGTGACTGAGCGGACAGCCCCCCTCGAGCAGTTCCCCAAGCCCGCTGTTGCGCACCTGGGAGGCGGAAGTCGTAGATGATGCGGAAGGCCAGGTCGAAGTTGCGCTCCGCGAGCTGCTCCGCGACGGCGGTGCGCCGCCGGAGCGTCTCCGCGTCGCCAGGGTTGCCAAACAGGGAGTGCCGCCAGGGGGGGCCCTCGCCGTCGCCGAATGCGCGCACCGCCTCGGCCTGCACCACCATTGATAGCGGCACGGGCGTAAGACAGCGCCGCAGGCGCGACAGCCTTCACATTGCAGCCCCTCGGTTTGTGCCGTATCCATCACGGGCTGGCAGGCAGCAGGGTGAGCAGCTGTGGCGGGCAACGGGCGCGGGCCTGACCTGGAGCGCTGTCCGCGTGGAGAACTTGATGATTTCCTCCTCGCTCAGCTTGGCCGACGCGCTCTTGCGCCCCTCCTTGGCCCGCCGCCCGCCCGCGCCGCCCTCCGGAGGGGCCGCCTGCCGGAGCGCCAGGCCGTCGTCGAAGTGGTCCTGCAGTGGCGGACAGGGCGGGGGCGTCAGTCGCGCCAGGGAGGACGCTACTGCTGCATATGTGGCAGAGCTCGGCGAGAAACACGCCTGGTGCAACGACATAGGGCACACGCGCTTCGCTGGCCGAGCTGAGGGTGGCAACGAGGTGCCTGCTTGTGGCGGGGCAGTGCGTGCGTACCCGCGCCGCTTCCAGGTGCTGCACGGCCTCGTCGGCGGTGGCCGAGTTCTGGAAGAGCTGGATGGCCGTGAGGCCCGCCGCGACGGGGTCCCCCAGCAGCAGCTGCGCGCATGGACAGCACGCGACCATGAGCGTTATTACAGGAGCCGCCAGGGACAGTGCCAGGGAGAGGAGGAGCGACAGGGTGTGCCCAAAGGCAAAGCTGCATACGCCAAGTGAAGCGCTTGTGGTGGAAGAATAAAAGCACTTGGATACCTATTACAAGGTAAATTATCATACTGAACATCATACTGAACAAATCGTTTCCTCGTATCAAAGCAGCTTGTGCTCTATGCTTGCAAATGTTCGTTTCGTCGGGGCCTCAGTTTGGCAGGCGCCAAGCATCGCCGGAGTGCGCAAGGGTACTTGTGCCGCACCTGGATCCGGTGGAGGTGGTGAAAGTGGCGGTGCGCCTCGCAGAAGGCGGCCATCTTGGCGAGCACCGTCCCCCGCTGCGCCGCCCCGTCCTCCCCTGCCGCCTGGCTGCGCTCCGCCACCGCTCGCTCCAGCACGGGCATGGCGCCGTGCGCGACGCACAGCTCGCACAGCTCCTCTAGCGTGCCCACCGCCGACACTAGCGGATCACCACCGCCGGCTGTCGGCCGCGGGGCTGGCCCAGCCTGCGGGGGTGGCGTCGGCGGGGCAGGGGCGGGTGAAGGGGGGAGGTGCGCGAGAAACACGTGGCAGGCCTCCCCGAAGCGGCCGTGCCGGAACAAGAACGGAAGCACGCCCGAGGGGTGGTACTGCAGTGAACAAAAGTGGCGTCGAATTAGAAAAAGCTAGGGCAAACCAGCGCACGCCTTCCACAAACTCCACTGCTGTCTGAAGCGAGGAATTTTGCATCTTTAGGAGAATTCTCTAACAGCGGTTTGCGTCAGCAAGCCCTGCTCGGGGGCGCACCTGGCGCAAGTACTGCACCGCGTGGTCCTTCCTCTCGTCGTCCAGGTAGTCCGCCCGGTTGTCCGTCGGCGCCTCCGGCCCACCCGCCCTTGCGGCCTCCGGCTGCTCCCCAGAGGAGCGGCGCGAAGGGGGCGGCCGCTGCTCGGGGGGCGCATTAAGCACGTTGAGGTACGCGTCAAAGGAGAAGGCCTCTTCCGAGGAGAGGGCCACGCTGCGCGCCACCTCCGAGTACCTGCAAGCACGCGCAGCGCAGCCACACAGCGTCAGCCCGGAGGAGGATGCATGAAGAGGTCAGTGCGGCAGAAACGAGAGCCTTTGCACCAAGTCGCAGGGACGAGCAGCTCCGAACAGGTGCACACGGTTCCGTCCCGAGCGGGCTGCTCGCGGGAGCTGGGCGGTGGCCCAGCCGCGAGGCACACTCACAGGGTGCGCGTGTGCGGCAGGTCGACGGGGGGAGCGCCCTCAATGGCGGCCACGATGGCCTGCACCGCCTCGAGGCGAGCAGGGTCCGGGAGCAGCTCCAGCGCAGCCCTGGAGAGCAAGGGCAGACGCGCGGTGAGACCAGAGAGCCGATAAGGGACAACGCATCCTCCGGTTGCTGCTACGGAGGGCTGGCCATTCGACCACCTTTCCGGGTTCCGAGAGTCAAAGCGGGTGGTGCTCAAGCAATTGCGCTATGGCCTGCTCGAGCGTGGTCGGGAGGGGATGCTCGCTCGCTCAAGGGCTGGCGCAAATCAAGAGCTACTGCGAAAATTTTCTGATAGGTTTGATGGAGCATCCCGAGCGACCTGTGCGTACCGGAGGTGGGCGTGCGCCTGCGAGTAGTGGCGCGTGGCCAGCAGCGCGATGCCCCACGCCAGCTCCACTGCTTCCACCGGGCCCTGCCACACACCAGGAAATCATCGCGGAATTAATGTAGAGTGGCGCAAGTGCATGACATGAGCTAGAAGCACAGGTATTTGCTCGGAAGAATGCTGTTGAGTGAGGCGTGATGCCAGAGCAGCCCAGGATCACGACCGCTCGGCAGGAGGGTCTGCGCGAGTCACGGCTGCTAGGCCGGCCGTCGCTCTCCTGCAGGTCGCAGGCGCAGCACTGCCGGGCTTGCCCCGCCCCTCACCCCGCACTTAGTGCACAGCGCGTGCGCCAGCTCGAAGCGCTCGTCCTGGAGCAGCCGGTCGCAGAGGCCCCGCCGCTCGGTCTCCCCCCGCAGTTCGGGCAGGGACACGGGCACGCCCGCGCGCAGCAGGGCGCGCACCATCTCCACCTGTGGCAGCAAGGAAGGCGGCCGCGACCGAAGGGCCTCGTCGCCGGCAGCGGCAGCGTCTGCTGAAAGGAGGGCCTCCATGTGCTGCACAGCCTGCGAAGAGAGGACAATAATCACATTGTACCCTTTCCGAGCACTTCGCACGCTCACCAGGTCACCACCACGTCACTCCCTTCGCCAAATACAGGACAATGTGAGGGCCAATCCACGAAAGAGACAATGCGTACAATCATTCGCATGCAAGGAGCCAGACCGCTGGGAGCATCCTCTCCAATGAGTGTATCCTGCCCGGTCGCCCTTTGGCCCGGGCGGTCGCCCTGCGTTGCAGCCCACCTGGGCATAGGCGTCCGCTGCCCGCAGCCCCTGCTCCATGGTGGCCGCGCTGGCCGCCGGGACACCGAAAGCGGCCCACACCGTGCGCTCCAAGCCTGCCAGCAACTCGCGCACCACGCCCGGCACGTTGGAGCACAGTGGCAGAATTTCCTGGAACCAAGGAGACATCCAGAGCGTGTCAGAAGCAATAGCTGCACTAAGCTTGAAGCTTCTTTCAAGGTTTCATTGTGACCAAGATACTGACAACACCGAGCCAAGTTTCTGACAGATTCTGACCTTGTCAACGTATTGAAGCGTGGGCCTTGTAGCCTGCCATGGAAAATTGAATACGGAAGCGCACCCCGCTTTGAAATGATAAAACATACGACAAAGGCTTGTGAGAGCACAGAGGATGAACGCTGTGCGTCGATCTTGGGCCGGTTCCCAGCTTGAGATGTTAGCCAAAGTTGGACGACATTGGACGGAAGGGACGAGCAGCCGACGGAACCCGCCTCGCCCCCCTGGCCCCCTGGTGCGTATCTCATCCTGGCCGTACTTTTACCAAGTCACGGCCAGGCGCGCATGCGTGGCTGGCGCCCACCTTGAGCATGGCGGCGCTGGGGGCTGCTTCAAAGGTGTGGCTCCGCCGCGTGTTGTCGTCCTTGTCGGCGTCCCCCGTGAGCACGCCGTCGCCCACGACCCGCCCCTTGGGAGCGCCCTCCGCCAGGGCGGCCCCCCGCGCGTCAGCCGGCCCGGCCATGGCCTCCCAAGCAGCGCTCTGGGAGGGAGGCAGCGTCAGGGGCCGCTCTGCCGGGCGGGCCTTGCTCGGGACGCGAGGGCTCTCCGTTCCTTCACCACCTGCATAATTTGCACGGATGACTGCGTGCGACGGGACAAGCACCTTCGTATATTGCTCGCTTGATGCATGCGCAAGCACAATTGGCAGCCCCTTTACAGCAGGTTCGATGCACCATAAGGTGCTCAATGGGTCCGTCTCTTCGTGTTTGTGCATCGGGGGCTGTCCCCCGGCCGCCTTGGGTGCTCACCTCGGTGCAGCAGGCCGCGCGTGAACTGGCTGGCGGCCGCCCACATGGTGCTGGTGCCGGCCGCCCACGAGATGCGCCGCGGCGTGCTCTGCCCGTCGGGGCTCGCCAACACGCCTCGCAGCCCGCCCGCGGTGCTGATGGATCGCAGGCTGCTCGCCGCAGGCCGCTCCAGCCGGGGGCGGGGTACAGCGGGGCTGCCGCTGGTGCGCTGGGAGTCGGAAGGGGCAGCGCGCGAATGGGGCAGGGCGGAGCCGGCAGCGGTCTTGGAGGCTGGCAGTGAGGGGGCGGCGGCCGCGCCAGCGGAGGGAGGCGCGAGAGCCTTGGCAGCGTAGCGTACGACGAGGGCGTCGTCATGGAGGGAAGGGCACGCGCGCAGCATCTGACAAGTGAAGCACGACGAAAAGGGGTCGGGAAGCAAGGCGAAGAAAGTGGTGCAAAAGGTCAGCAAACGAGGTGTGCCATGCAGGTCCGGCAAGCTTGCAGATGCCCACTTTGAGTGCGCTGCGCGGTGTGGGTGCTGACCTGGTGCGCCGTGGCAAACTGCTGCGCCATGAGCAGGCTCTCCAGCACCAGGTCGGGCTGCTCCGCCAGGTGGCCGCACCGCTGCTGCCACGGCGGCGGCAAGCGGGCCAGCGCCGCCAGGCCGGCCGCCAGCGAGTGCAGCCGAGCAGCGTCAGGCGGGGGGAGGCCGGGGGCCGGATGGGACACCAGGTAGCGCACCTGCACGGATCGAACACTCCATGCGATGGTGGACAAATTCTCCCATGCTTCACTGAGAGGTTACTTCTGTCGGACCCATCCTCCTAGCGGCTCCTACATGACAAAGGGGGTGTCGCAACACGTGAAGGAGCGCTTCTGGGGTCTCTCAAATGATCATGGCGTGGAAAGACCTTAGCTCCTAGGCGACACCTCAATGAACGTTCAAAGTGTTGTCCTAGTCCAAGGCTCCGCTGGGGCCCACCCTGCCCGGCAAGTCGACGAGCCCGGTAAGGTGTGCTCGTGCCCGTTTAGTGCTTGTTGCGTTGCAAGTTGACATGCTACTGCTGGCGGTCGTTTCCAGAAGATTTCCGGAGACTGCACTTGAAACGGCGTTGGCAAACCTGTCTTCAAAAAGAAGAGGAGCCAAGCCGGGCCGGCCCGGTTGGACGGGGTGCACGTTGCTTGTCGCTGAGCCGTGTTGTTTGGCGCCTCACCAGCAGGCTCTTGTCCTTGATCCGCCCCAGCTGCGGCAGCGCCCCCGTGACCACGGCGACCGCGTCTTCCCCCTGTGGCAGCTCCCGCAAGTAGCGCAGCGCGACGGCCGGGCCACCCCCCTGCGCGACCGCCCCGCCTACGAGGTGCGCCAGCTGGCGGCTCTGCAGCTCGTGGCGTAGGCCGGGGTGCAGGCCTGCTGCCTGCACCACCTCCAGCGCGGCCCCAACAGCGCCCTTGGACGAGAGGCGCAGGGCCAGCCCCTCGGGGTCCGCCGCAAACAGGTCCTCCACCTGCGGGCAGCCACCAATACAAGCAGCATAAGCAGACGCATGCGCCCAGCAGCGTGGCAAGGCGGACGAGGGGGAGACTGCGCCAACGTCTTGAAGGCTCTTTAGGGCATTTTCGTCCGCCATATGAGAGCTGCCTGCGGCCCTCGTATGCAAACCTTCAAATATGATGGACTGAAAAGATGCCCCCTCCTTGCTAAGTCCTGCCGACATCCGCATGGTACACATGCCAGCCAGGGCCAGTTCCAAAGGGCCAGTTTCAAAAGGCCACGGGCCTGCACCTGCTGCCACGTGTTCAGGCTGGGATCGGCCTTGAGCACTTGCTGGTATCTCGCCAGCTGCTGCTTGCGCTGCAGCACCTCGTCCCGGAGTGCACTCCCCGCGGGGAGGTGCGCCGCGCACACCGCCAGCACCGACTCCCCCTGCTCGCGGCCCCACCGCCGTAAGCACCTGCCCAACAGAAGGAACCGTGACTTAGAACCCAAGACAGGAAAGACAAGATCAAGGTCACAAGGAGATGTTAGGATGTCGCCCGGTTGCATGTCCCGCTTCTATGGCTCCAACTCGTGGTCTTTGCAGCAAGTTGAGACAGACGGGTTTTGGCCCTGCCCATCGCACGTCACAGCTGGCAACAGGTGACGGCCCGTGCTCTTACCTGAGCGCCGCGCGCGCTGCCGTCTGTTTGTCGCGTAGCCTGGTGCAAGCCTGCCAGGCCTGCAGCTGTCCCCCTTCCCGAGCCTGCCCGCCGTGCGTGCCTTCTTGCTCGATGACGGCCAGCAGCAGCTCGTCCGGCGCTCCAGCGACGAGGCGACTGTCCGCCAGCTCCACCGCATCTTGGACGGCCCCCCGGCGCATCAGCTCACGCACTTTCGCGGCGTACCCAGCCTCGTCTTCCCACTCGACCAGCTCCGACGGCCGGCGCTTCGTCCCGAGGGACACCCGCTTGCGCCCATCCAGCTCCTCCGGCTGCACGAGAGTACCGCTCGGCAGGCCTGGTGCCGGCCTGGCTGCCGCGTCCTCACGCTCGGGGGAGTCCGCTGGTCGCAGCCGCTTGAAGCGTACGCCCGAGGGATGCGCAGCCGCTGGGGGCGGGGGCGGGGACTCGAGTGGGGTGGGCGGAACTTGAGGCACATCCTCGTGAAGACGAAGCCAGCGCCGCAGCACAGGAAAACTGCACGAGACAGCAACACTCTCGAAAACAGTATACCAATTTACCCTCCGCTGCCGTGTTTACCTTGGAACTCACTGAAGAGGCATTTTTTCTGAAGCCGACTCTGAAGCGTTTAAAGGAAGACTGCTCTAATCTGTGTTATGCTCGAATCACCTATCTCCGCGGAAGACATCGTGTGTGCAATCACTCTGTACGTACCGGGACCAAACACTTCCAAGCTCGGCTCAATGAAGCCTTGATAAGAGCAAAAGCCTGTGCCCTGGCTGCAACGGGCCCACCGCCAGATGCACGGTTTGCTCCGATGCATCTGGTGGGCGCGTGCCTCCGTACCTCTTGGCCGTGCTGAGCGCCACGTCGGTGAGGCCCCGCCTCCTGGCCGCCTCCCCCTCGCCCTCGTGCTGGCCGGGCCCTGGCAAGCTGCCGTAGCGCGCCGCCAGGATGGCCTGCTGCGGGGACGCGCGGGCCACGAAGTGCGCCACCTCCACTTCCAGCGGCTGCGCAGGCTGCTGCCCCGGCGTGGGGGCGGGGTGAGCAGGCGGCAGGACGGGGCGCAGGCTGGACGAGAGCAGCTGGCGGACCAGGTCCACACTCATGAGCTCCGCCGCGCGCGACGCGGTGTCGGTGCTCCCGCGCTCAAAGGCGAGCTGCGCCAGTAGCTGCACTCGGACGCAAGGGGAGTGAGGGACGGTCGGGAGTGGGGGGCACCATCAAAGCGCTAGGGCGTACCTGCGAGTTTTTCAAAGGAACCCGATCGACGACTACAGCTCAAGAAAGCGTCTAAGGGTTTTCGAATCCAATGGGGTAAGGCACGTGCGATAAGAGGTTGCTTGGACGATCCGAAAGCGCTGATCGTGCAGCTGCAGCGTTGATCGTACCATCTTCCACACTGGCTTAATTGAGGAGGTTGCCGAGTGGCCGTCGTTGATCGCCAGACACAAAGCTACAGACAAATGGTTGCCCTCTTGTGAAATTTGCCGTTTCAGAGCTTGTTTCTGGTGCACTTCAACGGCAGGCACGCTTGCTCGCCACAGAAGCGGCATCAGCGGACTCTGCGTGCGGATCCTCACGTGAGCGGGGCTCTGGTAGAGGATGGCAAAGAAGTTGTACGTGTGCGTCGTGTCGACCTCGTCCATGATGTCCCCGATGCTCGCCACGTAGTGCACCAGCGCCGCCAGCCCGCTCGCGCGCACGCCCCCCGTGTCCAGTAGCGCAGCGGCCGCCAGGGGGGAAGCCGGCGTGCTGCTGTCCCCGTCCAGCGCGCTGCCCCACGACCCCAGCCGCAGGTCGCCGCCGCTGGAGGACGGGGAGAGCGCGCCGACGGGGGCGGGTGCCACTCCGAGGCCTAGTAGGGAGAGGGGGCCTGGCAGGGGAGCCGTTTTGCGCTGCTTGGGCTTGGCGGGTGTGGCGGGGTCGGTGTCAGGGTCGCGGCCTGCGAGAGCCTTGACCAGGTTGTGCAACTTGCCTGCACAGGTACAGCGAGCATTCCAGCTCATCAGCAGGCTGGCATAAACAGGGGCGACGCACCCGGAAAGCGTCTATCCGAAAAGGAACTCTCGTCGTGGGTGCACGGCCAGAAGGACCTTTGTTCGCGTTCCTTCCTCTTGACGATGTGGCATCCTGGCAGTATCCCCATGCCATCGTTTGACTTTTCCCTCACCGCTCAGAAACTGGCGCTTCCCGTCGTGCGCGTCTTTGATGGCGGCTTGAAGGGCGGTGATCGCGCGGACGTCGGGCCCCGCGTGAGCGCCACTTGGAGGCGTGTTGGAGGCACCGTCCGCAGTGCCCGCAAGCAGAGCCGGGAGAGGCACGGACGGCTCCTGCGCAGAGTGCGCAACGCCGTACTTATCACAACTGGCATTGGCACAGATTTTGCGAAAGACGGCTCCCCCATTCAGCATGTTAGCCGAGGCTCGTAAATACCTCTGTTACATCAAGAGGGTTTCCGAGCCAACTTGCAGTTCAGCATTGCAAGCTTCTCGCACTTGCCAGGTGGTTTCCCTTCAAATGGCAAGGGCGACGTTTGAATAAGGCAGGCGGCAGCGGTCCGGGCCCTTGCTTCCTGGGCTGACCCCTATTCGGCTGATTGTGCTCCCGGGAGTCCCGCGCTGACTGCCGACACGGTGCGGAGCAGTGTGCGCGGGCCTCACCCTGCTCTGCGTGTCCGCCAGCCGCTGCAGCAGGCTGTCCGCCACGTGGAAGAGCGCCTGCACGCGCTGCGCCGCCCAGTCGTCCCCCGGCTCTGCGCGCTCCTCGTCGCTGCCGGAGCCGCTCCTTCGGTGGCCCTTGCGGCTGAAGCGGAACAGGTGCGCCGATCGGGACTTGCTGCTGCCGTCGGGTCCGGGGACGTCCTTCTCGCTCCCCGACAGCGCTGCAGCGCGCCGCTCCCGGCACTGCTGGGCCAAGCCTCGCGCCTGCACAAACATGGCAAGGAGTGAGCGCCTTTAGGGGCGAAGCATAGCAACATTTGCCGTGCTGCATGGCGTTGTGGCATGGAGTAGGGGCGGCCCCAGACTCGATTGAGCGGTCATGTCGGATGGGGCTATCACAGCAGCTGGCCGGTTTCGGCTCCGGCTCACCTGTGCCAGCACGCGAGTGGCGCCTCCCGAAGACGGCACCGCCGAGAGGGCCACGTCCAAGCAGGCTAGGAGCTGCAAGGAGCGGCAGAAGGCCCGATCAGCGGCCCAAGGCAGCCAAGTGACGAAGGGAGGAAGAGAGGGGCCTGGACCTTCTAAAACGGGGATGGTTTGGAATTGACACTCCAGGCCAGCATAGCATTCCAGTCCAGTCTGCCCTCTTTCAGGCTGCTGCAGGAACGGCCGTGGTAGACAGCAGTTTGCGTAGCCACTCCGTGGCCAGGTAATGTATTCATCGTGGGCAAGGAGCCGCTTATACATCTTGGCAGTGGACGGCGCCTCACCGCAGTGAGCGTCGACACGCGCTGCTGTAGCGGCGCCAGGTCGAGGACGTCCTTGGAGCCCCGGGAGGACCGCCCGTCCTGCACCCACACGCGCGCGGCGTCAAGACTAGCGCCAAGAACTAAACGAAGGCCAGAGACAACCCCCAGGGCCAGTCAGCGAGAAGACGACCCACAGCACGACCTACCCTGCACAGCTGAAGCGGCGACTGCGAGAGGCCGTACACAGTGGGTATGACGAAGGAGGAGAACCGCTCTCGGAGAACGTCCCTAAAAGACTTTCTGGCAGAACCGCAAATCAGGGCTCGGCTCTCACAGTCAGCACGGTCCGGCTCACCTCCAGGGTCGTTGTGGCTTGTTCCAGCCACTCCGCCAGCTCGAGCGCGCTGGTCTCGGGCGGCACCAGGGCGAAGCGCGTGGCCACCTGGCGGGCAAGGGCCAAGTCACCCGTGCGAGTGAACCTGCGGCAGCGGCACCAATCAGAGTGCGACAACGCATGCTGTGCAGGGCAGCTGCCGCAGGAAGACCGTCCGTCGCTTTGAAGGACAGGAAGACCGGCGCTTCCAATCTGCAGCTCCTTGCGGCCGCTTGAACAATGAGACAAAGTGTCGTTCCTTCAGCAGGGTGGGAGCAGTCCTTCGACGTCATAGACCGGGCTCAACTCGTCGTTTATAGAAAAGAGAGCCGGTAGCAAACAGAGCCCCTTAGCGAACTTTCTGATAAGGGAACTTGACTTCAAGAGCCTTCGCGTGTCCATTCGGGAAGCCAGCGCGGCCGTTGCTTACCTGTCGAGCAGTTGCGCGGGGGTGGCGGCCAGGGCGGCTGTGCAGTCCCGCCAGGCCGCGGGCTGGCCCTGGCTGTCGGCCACGCGCTGGAGCAGCTGCAGCCGCCAGAGCCAGTCCGCGAAGCGGGTGTGCCAGGCGGCCACCTTGCGCGCCCACACCCGGCGAGCAGCGTTGGTATCCCGTGCGCGCGAGGTGCTACCAGTGGGAGCGGGAGGGGCCTTGCTGGCCGAACTGGGGAGGAAGGCCTCGCCGCGGGGGAGGTGGTGCTGGAGGAACGACACGAAGCGGGCCGCAAGCGACGGCGCCGGCACGGGAGGGTCGGCTGGGGGGGTCCGCAGGGGGAGCTGTGTGGGGACGAGGGGCGGGGCGGCGTGCGGCAGCTGAAGCAGCGACGCCAGAGTAACCACCAGCCAGGCCTGGAGTGAACAAGGCGCATGGAAGGGGCAGCCGGTGAGCTACGCGGGGAAGCAGCCATACTGAGGTCTAGAGAAGAGGAGGGCCGGCCACAAGAAGCGGCGCTATTCTTAGCATGAACAGAGATCCCTTCAGAGGTCCGCTTTACATCGGCCGAACTTGGCTGACATCACGAATTGCGGCAGCCCGCCAATGAGCATCGGGTGGGCTGAGCCCCCACAGGGGGCCGGTGGGCGCCGATGAAAGTTTTGACGAAGGGCTGACCTTCTTCCCCGAGTTGCTGACGGCTTCCATGTGTTGGCCCGCTTCCTGGAGCGCAGCTTGCGCCTGCTGTGCGTGCTGGGCGGAGGCCTGCTCGATTGCGCGCAGGACCGCCTGCAGGGCGAGGTGCATGCGCAGCAGCTCCACGTCGTGCTGCCTGCAGCCCGAACGAGAGCAACGGGATGACCACTCGGGAAAGACCACCCGTCCCTGCAGCGCGTCGAATCATAGGTGGATGCATAAAAGCATGATGCGTCACGGTCCTTGGAGACCTGCTATCCGGGGGCCGTGCATTGTTGCACAAAGAGCTGCGTTGCCAGCTTTGTGCAATCTGGAGGGTGTAGTCTTACCGTGCCTGCGCATCTTGTCTGGAGAGCGGAATGGGCTGCTCGCTGACAAGTCGAAGCGCGAGGTCCGGCGGGACGCTCAACGCGGGGTCTGTCAAGACCTGCATCACCAGGGAGAGCCAACCGCGAGCATGAGCGGGAGCGTTGCAAACCGAGGCGACCCCTATTTGCTGCAATGCTGACTGAAACTATTACCAAAACAGCTGGCTGGCGGTCAGCTGACCAACGACGTTGAGGTTCCAAGTGACGTCGCTCTTTCGTTCACGCCGGCTCAACGCTCTCCTTAATGGATGTGGCCTTGGTACCCCTTGGCTCAATGACGAACCAACAGGATTTGGGGAGTTGTTATGTATTTGTCACCTGTGAACGTGGAATTGGACCTGAAAGTGGCATGCCTGCAGACGACTAAGGGTTCTCAGAGGAAGCTGAGAGGCGCTTTTGCTTGATCCTTCTTTCCTATCCTCTATCGTTCGGCTCGTTCCTTTCCAATCTGATGCCTTCCGGTCTTTGGTTGTGTTCATAGCTCAAACGGAATTGGGGTAAGAGCGTCCGGTTAATCTGAGCCTACTTCCGATTTGGAGGCATGCTCGAGTGTGTTGTGCTGTTGTGCCCGTACCTGGATCGACGATCCCGCTGCCAGCCGCGCCAACAACAGGTTGGCTGCAAAGTCGTCCGCCTGAGCGGTGCCATCCCCCGAGGATGATGCCGCCACGGTCTGGGCTGCATGCAGCTGGTATGCCAGCTGGCTGCACAAGGCCTCCAGTGGAGATGCCTGCTAGGGAAGATACAAGAAACGTGTCTGTCAGCAATGGACAATTGTAGGATTTCGGAAGTGTTCCGCTCAAAACATAGACAAAGTAGGAAGCACATCTCCTCGCTGACTCGCAACTGCAGGAAGACTCAGGGCGTTGTTGTTCTCACATCAGAGGCAAACTGTTGGGCAGGTCGTTCTCGACTGTCGGTCGTACCTGGGGGTGCCCTGCACGCGCCGCGCGGGCCCTGTGGTGCCAGAGGCGCTGCAGGCTGTCCTGGCGGGCGGCCACGCTCCCGGCGTGCAGGTCCCAGGCCATGACCGCCAGCAGGGGGGCCAGCGCGGGGAAGGGCACCAGCACCTGCACTCAAAAGAGGGTGAGCAGCTTGGCACCAAGGGCCCCATTTCTGACAATGTCGAGACAGCGGGGGAATGGGCAAGCCGTTTGTTGCACCCAAGGCCCCACGAACACATGTGTGGACTCTGGCTCGTCGTCCAAAGCTAGAGTAAGGCGTTCGGGAACAGACCCATGGGCCGTGACCGCCGGTAGGGATACTTTTGCAAATACATCCACCACTCAACGAGCCCGGATGGTTGCTCACATCGGCCGCCTTGTGCATGTCCTGCTCCTGGGCTGCCCGCAGTGCCTCTTGGAGCACCGTCTCCAGGACGTGGCTGCGCGTCACCCTGGCGTGCTGGAACAGCTCTCCCACGCACGCCTGGGCGGCCTGCTCTGTTGTTGGCCCCGTGCTGCGGGTCGTGTGCAGGCTGGCGCGCAGCTGGGCCAAGGGGGGGCTCCCTGCCGTGTCACTGGCAGCTGCTCTTGAGTTGGAGGCGAGCAGGTCATCCTGGGCCACCTTTTGAAAAGGGAAGGAACAACTGAGGGCAGGAAGAAACATGGCAATACTCTCCGCTGCGGCAGTGGTGCCAGCACGAGAGCCCCTTCTGCTCAATACACGGACTTCCTCACAAAGCTGTTCTAGAAGCTCACCTTGTCTGACTCAAGCCGCAAAGGCAAACGTGTAGCCTTGATTGCCTAGCATCAGACCATTTGTGTGGTGCCTTTGTAACCCTCACATCGTCCAGAGTTCCTTACCTGCAAGAGTTCATCAATGACTTCGACACCACTTGCTACCACTGCCCCCCACAGTCTGCTTTGCGCCTGGGGAAGGGCGTTGGAAGCGTCTTGATCCTTCACGAGTCTCAGGGTCCGGTCAAGCAGCACCCTGAAGCATGCGCAGCCTGCGTTAGTTCTGCAAAGGGAGTTGTGTCTTAAGGAAGAACACGGCAACAGCTGCTCGTTCCATCCTTGGATTGGCCAGAAGACAAACCGCAGCAACGTCGATGGTACAATGTGAACCACACCCAAGAGCACACACCCTGCAAGATAACATAGTAATGAGCCACCACCCTGTAGATTCAGATGGTGGCATAGACGAGCAGAAGCTGAAGGTTGGCAAGTGCGGTGGACATCACAATCGGTACTCACCTATGCTCCTTGAGGGATTCGTTGTCCCCTTCCTTGACACTGTGTGCAATGGTCTGGGTGATGGCTTGCAAGTCAGCCCCACTTAAGTCCTGCGCCCATTGCTGCATTAGCAGCTCGGAGGTGGGCCCAGACGATCCATCTTGAACCAGGTACTTGAACAGCTGGGGCTCATGCTGGAGAAGCCAATGCAACAATTCCTGGCTTGGGACCAATGCTGGCGCTCTCTGCGATCCCTCTGCCTCTTCTGTCTTTCGGTCATGCGCCGCCCCTTTCCGGGACTGCCACAGCGTCTGATCCTCGGCCTTCAGCGCACCACCATCAGGAGGGGCTTCACGTTGCCGCGCAGAACGATCATTTTCAATCAGAGGAGCTGCAATCGACTGGAGCAGCGCACGCTCAACACGTGCTCCCCTCTCAGAGAGGCTTTCTTCTCCTATTGACAATGCTAGCTCGCACCTCGCAAGCCATGCGAGGAGGGCGTGCGAGGGCACTCCTGCTGACGCCAGCCAACCCCGCAGAGATGTGCTCTCTTTAACGATAGCTTGCAAGATGTTTTCTGCATTGCTTCCATCGAGGCGCTTCAGCTCCTGAATGACACCTCGAGCCAGCTCAAATTGGCCCAGAGCTAGATAGTTGATGCAGAGGCGTTGCAGCAACTGTGTGCTCCACCCTTGTTCCGCCATTTGCATCATGGCTGACCAGCTTGGGCCGCATGAATGCTGGACATAATACTTTGACGCAGAGCTCATTTGCTATTACTTGGAAGTTGAAACTCCAAGTTCAAGGCCCAAGGCCCCAGGCCCTTGAGACTGAGTCTGACTCTGGAGGGGTCCCTTTGATTTAGCACTCAGACCCGATTCAGAGGTGCGGAAGCAAGGAGCCGAGCTTCATAAAATTACAAGATGCAGTGCCAGCAGCAAGTGCCGGCAAGGACGTGAACGCATTAGCACGTGATAAAAGTGATTGTGTTTGCAGCAGGGAACAGGCCCAGCGAAAACATAGTGTGATATGTCTTCTTTGCAAGGAGGTCATCCTGCATTTCAGCCACCTAGAAAGGGCGCGCAGACTGCTCCTTGTTCTCCTTGGACTTTGGGTGAGTTGGGTTACTAACATAATCACAATGGCAGTCTCTTCCAGAGTTCCGTCTGTGCATGTTTGTTGCAATGCTGTGTTTCCGGAGTCATCCTGGCAATTGCTGTAATATGCGCCACGTTTGGCCTGCCGGTGGTGATGGAGGTGGCGCGGCTGGTGGGTGGTCATGGGTGTTGCATAGTGGGGGGTGGTGGTGTGGTGGTCGCGTGCCCCAGTGCAGCACCAGCACAGCACTCCCCACCAGCGGGCCTGGCAGTTTCAATCAACAATGATCTTGCTTCTCACTCTCTGAAAAAGGGGCATCGACGCCTAGATCAAACATTCTGTTGGAGACAATCTCAAAATTTTCTGTCTGGAAAGCCGGCTTGAACTTCTATATGAAAGAAACTGACGACTTTGGAGCAAACTAGACCCGCAGCCAATGTCATGCACTCTTCCAGTGAGGAGTATCTTTTGTGGTACGTTTTGACTGAAGCACTATTAAAGATGACACAGCAAGCAGGGATATGCCAAGAAGCTTCTCGTGAATACATTGGCTCTTTCCCCAACTTTGACAGAGAGTTGTTCGACATTATGCGCAACCCATTCTGTTTCCAAAAAACTTGAAGCAGCGCACAACCCTGAATTTATATGTGCAGGTGTCTGCTGTACCTTGTGTGGAAAGTGAAAGAGAGCTTCTCCTTTGTGAGATGGATGTTCTCAAACAGAAAGCCACAGTTTTGAGGGAAATGGAGGTGGGTACAAACTCGCCCTACAGACTCCAGGGCCAGTATCTTGATCTCCATGGCCCAGCTTCAAGTACCAAGTTGCTCTAAGTTTTGGGTGTTTATCTTCAGTACCCCATGATTATCATCAGGGAGACGCTGTTGATCTTGGAAGAACACTGCGTCAGACTCAACGACCGGGAGTGCGGCCGCTGTTAGGGCAGTGATTGGGCACCCCCATCTATTGGTAGTCCTTGACCTGCTTGCTGGCGGAGCACCTTCTTTGGACATACTCCAGTCAAAGAACGAAGAAGTTATGGAGCATAGTCTCCAAGTTTGCCCCTATTTGTTTGTTACTTTTGTCATTGTGATCTGCAGCACCAGCGGCCTGTCACTGCCTTGTGCCTGGATGCAGGGCGATGCTGCCGCAGAGTCCTCCTCCGCGACGGCCTTCACGCAGGAGCTGGCCCAGCAGCTGCACGCGGCGGAGACCCCCCGCGCTGCTGAGCAGGTCCTAACACACACACGCGCTCTCTGGTCACCTGAGGCATCCGGAGGACAGGTACGTCACCAGGGCCTTCTTGATGGGTGGCAGGCCACCCGTCCGCCTGCCACAGGAATGGTGCCCATCTTTCAGGCCCACCCGTTCTCTGCTGTGTGGCCCTGCGCTTGCGTGTGGCCTTCGTCAGGGCCAAGGCAATGAGGTCCCCGTGTGTGTGTTCATGTTGCAAACCCTTTCGCTTTTTGTCCACATGAGTTCAAACCGCCTGCATGCAATGTAGGCAGAAAATCTTCGCAGTTTTCTGCCGCCAGTTCTGCGGGCCTACCTTACGTGATGGGGTGTCGTGCAGTTGCTGCTGGAGGCGGTGTGCTGGGACGTGCTGTCGGTGGTGGCCCCCTTCGCGGCACACTCCCGCGGCTGCCAGGCTGCAGTGGCCGGCGCTTGCCTGGACGTGGCCAACGGGTGCGCGCCGCGGGAAGCCGTCACCATCCTGCTCGCCGTAAGCAGCGCAACGCTCCTGGCCAGCTGGGGGCATGCCGTTATGGCAGGCAGCAGCTTCACATCAGATTCGCGTTTCTGACAACCACTCAGCCAGTTCAATGCTTGACTAGCACACGCAAGGAGTTGACTCCTTCGAGGACTTTTCAGGCTATGGGCAGCAGCGGGGAGGGGGAGGAGATGTCATGGGGCCTGCGCCTCGCTGTCACTGAGGGCCTGGCTGCAGGTGGGGCGTCTACGCTGAGCTGGCCATGCTGTGACGGGTGCATGAGCCCTCACTCTCATCGCCGCATCTGCATGTCACTCATTCAGCGCTAAGTCAAAATGTTGAAATATCACCGAACAAACTAGCTGTTGAAGAGTCGCTGCCCTCATTTGCAGCCCTTCCTCTCATCCCTCGGCGGAGGTATGAAACTTTCCAGCAAGCTGCCCCCACTCTCCTGGCCGGGCTGCGGGCCGTAGCGGGGGATCCCCCGGCGGGCACCTCCGAGGGCAGGGACTCCACGGATGACGTGGAGCGCTGGGCGGCAGGGCAGTACCCCGCAGCGGTGGTGGCGCTGGCCCACGCGGTGCTGGCCACGCTGCAGCCAGCAGAGACGCAGCTGCAGTCCGCCCTGGCCCGCTTTGCGCTGCAAGTCCTAGTGAGCTCCTGATGCACCTTCTGCGAACATTCGGACGAGTTGGATGCGTACAGGTTGTCGTCGTGGTCGCTGCTGACTGCCCCCATGTTCAAGGATTGTGTTCGGTTGCGGCTGTGCTAACTTCTTCTCTCCAAACGGACCACTGTCTTTGCGTCCCTCCAGAGCATCTCCACTGCGGGGCTACCCCTCGCGACGCCGGCCCGACCTGGCTCGTCCTCCCCCGAGGTGCCTCCCCTGCTGCTGGCCACGCTGCAGCTCCTGCCGCCGGCGGGGCTAACGCCGCAGCGCATCCTCAGGCCCGATCAGGAGGACTTACCAGGTACCGCAGCCGCCAATCGTTACGAAAAGTTTTTTCTTGATCTTGGCTACTGGTGCATACTTGCATGTCTGCATCTTTTTTATCCAAAGGACGAAGAACGACCTTGGCGGTGCTTTTGGGATGCGGCCTGCCCGTTCTTGCCTCTCACTTGCTTTGCAATCTACGTATGTGACGTATGCAACGCTGCATGCGCGTCGTGCAGGTGAGCCGGTGTGCGACTCCGACGAAGAGGACGGCCCCGCCGTGGATGAAGCCGCGGAGGTGGAGCGTGAGCGCGCATTGGCAGGTCAGCCCCCACCGTCAGGCTGCAGAGTTACGAGCAGCTCGAGCGGAATTGAAAAGCAACGAACGCAGTCGGCCTGCTTCCTCGTGCCGTCTTGATGGTGAACTGCGACTCTCTTGCAACTACTTCTTACCTTCTTGTTCGTGTACGTCGAATGCTCGTTCATGGTCGTTTTGTGGTCCCCCTGACAGCGGCGTGCCTGCTGTGTCTCCCCGCCCCCCTTCTGCCGTGGCCCGTCCCCCCCCTGTCTCCTGCGGACCGCGCTGCCGCCGTCGCTCTTGCGGGCGTCCTGCTGCAAGGCCTCCCCGTCCCGGCCAGCAAAGGCCTCGCCCTCATCGCGGCCGCGGCTGCCGCGCCAGCGCCCCAGCAGGACGGGTCGCTCCAACAGGAGCTGCTGGACGGCGTGCAAGCCACCCTGCAGGTCAGCACTGCGGCGAGCGCCGCACGCTTCGTGCCCTGGTATTGCCGTAAGTCATAAGGATTGTGGTCCCCGCTCAGGAGCGTGCCCCAAAACTGTTCGAGGCGGCAGTGTGCGGGAGCATCTTGCGCCGCTTTCTCCCAACTGTCCCACAGCCGACGCTGAGCGGTCGTCTGTGTCGCGTGCTACGCAGGGCCTGACCATGCTGATGCTCCTGCTGCCCGAACCCCAGGCCCGGCAAGCGGCCTACGGCGCCTTCAAAGCGGTAAGATGTTTGCCGACGTCTTCGCCTGAAGTGCAAGCAGCTACATATACATCACCGCGAGGTTTTACGGAACTCCGCTGGTTGTCAGCTTTGTTGGCGGTTCGCCATACAAAGCAGGATCGACTAATATCGGGCCTTCTAAGTGCGTTTCTGGAATATCCACTGTGTTATGCCTGGCCTCTCTTGTCACCTCGGATCACAGGACAGATAGACAAAACAGGATCAGGAAATAAGGTGGGGGGAAGGGCGTTTGTACACCGGTTTTGGAGCTTCAGAGCGCCCAAGCACGTCTCAGGTGCTTGCGCCGTCCTTCTGCAGGGCTTGTCGGTGCTGCCCCCTGCTGACCGCCTGTCGACCCTGGAGCGCTTCATTGACACGTGCCCGCATCAGCCGGTGGTGAGGCAGTCGCGCGCGAGGCTTTCTTGAAAGGACTGGATGAGTAGCAAAAGCCTTATTGGCAGCTTGTTCCTGACAGCCATAGGTTTGCGGACTAATGCGACTCCGTTCAATGGCAGCGCAAAAGCAACGGTGCCAAGCTTTTCAGGGAAAGAAAGATCCGGCTGGCGTTGTCCGGGCTGATGGTGAGCGGGTAAATGCTCCTTGTTTCTCAAGCCCGTCAGCTTTTCTGCAAGCCTTGTTGCCGGGGACGCGTGGCTTGCTTCGAGCCTGCCAAGAAACAGAGGATGCCCCCATGCCTGCGCTGCGTGCAGGTGGCGGTGCTGCTGCATCTGCTCAAGGACGAAGTGGCCCGCGCTTTGCCGCTGCCGCCCTCCGCGGGCACCCCTCCTGCTGCTCCCGCCGCCGGCCTGTTCCCGGGTGAGCGTATCCTGGCGGTTGTCGGCCGCACGCTGGCGCCACACGGCGGGGCGGGGGGCGTGGTGCCGCAGCTCCCGGACGAGGCAGACGTGGTGAGGGACAGCGGCTGGTGGATAGTGGCTGCTGCAGGGCCTCACCGCGTCCCCTAGAGCCATTACCTAACCACTTCCAATCGCGTCAGCCAGAACGGCGATCTGTCGGACTCGATGTCCTTAGTGGTTTTTGGGGGCGTCGTGCTCTCTCCGCCTGACGGCCCGCCCCGTCGTGGCTGCAGGTGGTGGCCGCGCTGAACCTGTACCGCTTCCTCCTTCTGCGAGAAGCTGCCGGTGAGCGCTGCGAACTTGTAATCCCTTCAAGACATTGGATCACAGCTAGTGGGCATCCGCATAATTCTTGGACGGTTGTCCAGGAAGGCACTGGCATTATTTCTTGAGATGGCGCAGACATGCTCCGGAACGTCCCGTTGTGCGACTCCTCCTACTGCTGGCCTTTTCCTCTGAGCGCGTGGTGCTGCGGTGCAGTGGGCCGCAGCTGGACGGGCGCCCTCTCGCCCGCCGCTCTCGTGCATGCGCGCACCCAGTGGCTCCTGCCCCTCCGCCACGCGGCAGCACACGCGGCTGCGGCCGTTGAGCAGGAGAGGCAGGCAGAAGCAGAGGCAGCACGTGCTGCCCCAGCGCAGCCCGGAGAGGCGGGCGGGCCTCGTGGAGCGGCTGGCGGGCGGCAGGGGGGTGCGGAGCTGGTGGCCACGGTGCAGGAGGTACTGCACCGGGTGCTGGAGCTGGTCGAGGACAGGTTGCAGCAAGGGGGGAAAGGGGATCCAGGCTGAACACGGGGGGAGGGCGGCTGTATGTTGCGTGCGTATCCTTTTCGTCATTCTTCGTTTCAGTGTCAAAGAGTCACGATGAGGGTGTCCATCGGCGCGCACCAAAGTGCTGTGAAGGAGACCAGCCGTATCTAACGAATTTGCAGCAGTGCGAATGCAGCATGCTATGACAGCCATCGGTTATTTGTTGCTACATATTGACCATCTTTCGGTTGCACAACGTTGTGCAAAAGGATGATGGTCTCTTTTCGTTTTCGCCGTAGCCAAATAGGCCATAGGCTTCTCATGGCATACATAGATGTGGTGTGTGATGATCAAGATCATGCATACTGAAATCTGCGCTCAGGCTTGACATGCCTGACCAGGTTTTAGGGGTTTTAGTGTTTTAGGGTTTTATGCGAATATCCATGCATGGTAGCTCACATTCCTCGGTTCTGCCGTGCTACCATCGACCTTCGTAAACGTCCGATGCTACGGTGTCGCCATCGGCCTAGGCTATGTCATGGTGTCAATGCACCCCGAGGGCGGCCGGTGGCCTAACCAAGGTCAGTGAGTCCCGCGGGGGCCTGCACGGCGCGACCACGTGGCGGCCATCGGTGCACTGACGGCATGATCGCATGCAATCGAGGAATAGTTGCTGGCATGGCGCGCCTGGCATGAGACTCAATTAGCATGACATGGCACCGATCCGATCGCGAGGCCATGCATGACGGCACCAATCCCGTGTATACACAAAGGCGGCATTGACTGATCGCGTTCGATTTTGCACATGTGTAGCTACTATAAGGGGCTCGTCGCATGCGACCGCTACATTTCTGTTTCCGCGAGAATGTGGCGGTTCCAAGACCAAACCATCGACGCATGCCTCCGATATTCGGACGAAAAGTTAGAACGTACAGTTCGATCGCGCGATCGGACCATCAAAACCGCCAGAATGTGGCTGGCGGTTTGGGGGTCCTCCTAGAATCTGGCGGTTCCGACATTTCCAACCGAGGACTTTGATGGTCTGAATGAGCAGACTGCGGGTACCCGGTACCGGATCGGGAATTATCCATCTTTTTCTTTGCGATTAAAATGTATTTTTTGGAATTGAATCTGGAGAGTCACCGCCAGACTATCGAACGCGCCGTCGAACATTGTACCTTCTTGACGATCCGTCCATGCGCATTCGTACGACCTGACCCGAAGTCAACCCGCCACATTCTGGCGGAAATGTAATTGTAGCGGTCGCATGCGACGAGCCCCTAAGCTATCTAGATACTGAGCTAGATTCATTGAATGCTGGCACATGATCATTGATGATCCGATGCATGCAATTGCAACCATGCGATTGCACCCCGCATTACTAGATATCGATCGAGAGCTAGCTATCATGCTCATCGACGGCGTCTAGTACGGGCCAAAATCACATGGTAAGCCTGTTCACCATAGATTGCAGCGCGGGGCCTGACGGTATTGCCGAACACATCACCGTCTCGCGGCGTACGGTAGCAATGATGACATGCAGTGGCCCAGTGGCAACGTGCAATTATTGACTGTCTAGTCACCAGACGTCGGAAATTTGCAACTAGATGATGGGCGGCCGCCGACAAGATTCGACCAGTGACGTAGCCGCCAACATCACCAGATTTATTGTTCAATGGATATGTCAAATATGCGAAATTGACCGGACCGATGCGCAGCTCTGGGTCTTGGGAACGTGTTATAGAAAACGAAAACCCTACAGCAGTCATTGTATCCGATCCTGCCCAAGCTGGCCAAAGTGACGCCATGCCAGATTTGACAAATTTCGACAGTCGGCCAATTCAACTCAGCCGTGCCAAAGCACCTCGATTGCCAAGGGCGGCTGCGCCACCACGCCGTACAGCGCCAAACTACACTAGTGCTCGCTAGCTATCGTAGTATGTTCCCTTCTAAGGCTCTTCCTTTGATCATCAAGACCCTGACTAAAGGGTCATCCTGTGAACACTGTCAAAGCCCATGTATTTGGCGCCAACTAATGTTATGCGTCTACTTTACGAAGCTTTAGCGTTTGTGACAACCTAATGTAGCAATTAAAAGATTTGCGTTTCCCCCAATAATCTCGACTGGGATCTCAAAGCACGGAAACCTCGCTCAATCCTCTACCTCCTCCTCTTTGGGAGCATATGTTAGCTCTTTCCTAGCCACTCTGACCGCTCCTTTGAGCCATGGTGCGGCCTTAGGGGCCACACTCGTCTCGCTGCTGGCATTGGAGGATCTCCCAGTGGCCCCTTCCTCCAGCAGCAGCCAGGGGTCCATCTCCAGCCCAGACTCGGTGGCCCAGTTTGCAGTCCCTTCCAAGGGACCCCGTCCTGTTTGAGCCAAATGGCTGGAGCCGGTTGAGAGTTTGTTGACTGCTGCGATGGTGGGAATGGTACATCGGTGGGGCGGCAGGCACGGCAGGACCGCCTGCAGCCGTTGGTGCACCGCAGCGGGCAGGCGCCCGCGCAAACTGTCCAACTCCGCCTGGACATGCGGAAGGGGGAGCCGTCAAACGCCGCTGGCGATCCAGGAACGACTTTCGTGTCGACAATCGCGAACCCGAGAAACGCTTGCAAACGGTATTCACCTCGGTTGCCGGTCTAGTTGAGCAAGAAAGACAAGAACCTGAGGATATTGAATAATTACATATCACAACTCTTCTTGCCGCTTTATCAATCAATCAAGGAGACCTTGATGGGACTATCAAGCACCTGCCTTGCAGATCAATGGAAAGGGAACTTCAGCGCACCAGAAAGACTTGGCACCAAGCGAGGATCAAACATCCGTTTTTGATCGACTGGACTCCGCCAAGCTGAGCGCTTACGTGGCAAAGTGTGCCCAGCCGTGTCTGGTGCTACGGTATGGTCCACTCCTATGCATGCCGATCGAAGGGTCATGACTTGCCCTCATACCCCAGAGCCACCTCCAGCTGCTCGCACCCTCACCTGCATGCGTTCTGCCACGTGGCGGTCGAACGGCCCCACGTCCCGCAGCGGCTTTGCAGGGCCCCGCCCCGGCGGTGGCTTGAGCCAGGCGGCCCACGTGCTGCTCACCAGCGCGGCCAGCACGGCGTGCAGCCGCCCAAACAGGCCCTCCCCCGCCCCCGCCGCCGCGGCTGCCGCTGCAGCCTCGGCATACCCGCGCTCGGGGTCAGGGGGAAGTGGGTCCGAGGGAGTGCGGATCAGGGGCGCCTCCTGGACGAGGGGCGAGGCGAGGAGGCGGAGCAGGACGGGCGCGAGCGTGAGGCGCATGTTGCGGGGGGTGGGGTCGCGGTCGGCGTGGATCTGCAGCCGGCAGACGAGGATCTTTAGACAGTGAATCTGCCTGCCGAGTACACGAGAGAGGTTTCACATAGGCGAGAATGAGCACTGGGGTGACTGTTTTGGGAGCCGCAGAGGCCTGGCCTCGGCGGCTTGTACGCCGTGTGCGGTGCAATGGGGGCGGGCCTACTTGGCGCGCTCACCTGGGGCAGCATGGGCAGCACGAACTGCAGCCGCAGCCAAAGCGACGTCTGCAGCGCGGCAACGGACGCTGGGGCCGCCACCTCACTAGCGGGCCCCCACTGACCGCCACCGCCGCGTGGGCTGCCCGGCAACGCCGCAAAGCCGTCCAGGCCTTTGCCCCACTGCGCAGCACCCCGGGCCGGAGCGCTGCTCTCGCCAGAGGGTCCTTTGCTGGCGTGCCGGGCAGCCGCGCTGATGTGGGCCTCTAGCGCTGCCAGCTGGCGCACCAGCTCCCCCGCAAACCCCGCGCACGTCTCGCTCGAGCTCCCTGCCAGCAGCGGCAGGACCAGCTCCGCAAGGCCGCGCTCCAGCGCAAACGGCGGGATGGTAGGCGGAGGTGAGGCGGGGGTGGGGGCCGGGCTGGGGCGGACCCTGAAGCCGTCACGGGCTGCCGACGCCTCGAGCAGCTGCCGCAACGATTTGCGGCCTTGGAGCATGTCGGCGCCCTCGAGAGCCCACCGCACCTGCGCCCAACAGCAGCGGTCAGGGCAATGCAACACACGGCAAGGCAGCTTCTCTGGTTAAGAGAAGGCGACCGCCCTCAACGATATCTAAGTTCGAGAGGACCCAGTGAGCATGCGACACAGAAGACGTAACCCGGTGCATGAGACCAAGCCTGATTAAAAATGAAGGTCGAAGCAGCGTGGCGGCGGGGCGGTACCTGCTGGATGAGGTAGTCCCCGAAGCCCCGGCCGAGCGCGTGCGCGAGCTGGCTGTAGAGAGGGGCCGCAGCGGGGCGCAGCAGCAGGCGAGTGAGTACGGCGGTGGTGAACGTCTTCTCGCACTCCGCCAGCTGGGCGGGGTCCAACGAGTGCACACAGGCCAGGGCGGCCACAGCTGTGGAACCAGCGCGCAGCTTCTCGAGGACGACCTGCACGCCAACCGTTGCACTCGTCAGGGCGGGGGTCGGGAAAAGCAGCAGGTCCAAGCACAGGCGGGCGGGGCGGGCCAGGCGTGAAGGCGCTTCGGTGACCCTTTCGGACATCATAGAACAACTAGGGCAACTCTAGGGGTTGCAGGAATAGAGGCAACGAGAGGCTCCCCTTATAGCGCTTGAGCCACGAGATTGCAACAAGGTCTCAGGAGTCTTGAAATTATGATTTCAATCCTCGGCCACGGGTACTTGGATGCCCCTCCATGAGGCCAACCTTCTAATGCCAAAAGCATCTCATCCGTTTGTGGGTGTTGAAAATCCCAGCGATTCTGCGGCCCTGGATGGCGCTGACCTGTTGGTCGAGCAGCAGGCGTACGCGCAGGCACTGCCAGTGGAAGGTGGTGGCGGCCAGCGCCTCCAGGCTGCGCAGCAGGCCCTCCACCAGCGCACCCTCCAGCGCCGCCACCCGCTCCTCCGCCGTTTCCCCCCCTGCTGTCTCTGGTGCGACCGCCCTTCCCTCCAGCAGGGCCGCCAGCAGGCGGGTCCCGTGCAGCGGCAGCAGCGCCAGCGCGGCCGCCTGCCAGCTGCCCACCTCACCGCTCGTGCGCTGCGCGTCCACTCCGACCGCTGCCGCTGCCTGCGCACTGTCTGACCGCATCAGGGCCAGCAGCCGTCCACTGTCCGCCAGCAGACAATCCCGGACGTGGTCCCCCTGCAGCGCCTCTGCGAGAGCTGCCGCCGCCTCTGCCTTCAGCAACTGCATCTCTGGCCCGCCGAGGCTGCCCCGCACGTCGAAGGTCAGCCGCAGTAGTGCGCTCAGAGGGGCGTAGACGGCATCAGCCGGCAGCAGGGCACGCGCGCGTAACAAGAACCAGGGATGTGGGCCCTCTACCAGGGCTGTCACTGCGCCTCCCACGGCATCTGCTGTGCCGCCAGAGCACACCCCGCCCAGGAGCAGCCGAAACCATAGCACCGCTGCCCGAGCTGCACCCACATCCGGAGGCGGCCCCACGCTGCGCAGGTGAACTGATACGAGGGTGTTGCCCAGGTGCAGCGCCTCCAAGAGGGTGCGCAGCTCCAGCCAGCCTTCCGCCAGCAGCGCCTCAGCAACAGCCAGCGCCATCGCTGCCCTTACTGCTTCGGAGAGCTCGCCTGCCGGGTCGCCTGCAGCTTCGCCGGTGGTTTCGGGCCCCAGGTCGGGAGTTTCGGGCGACATGTGGGCGTATGGGAGGGCCACGACAGGCACCGGTGCCGGCTGCGCGGCCTGGACGGTGTGGACCAGAGCGTGCACCACCCCACTCTGAAAAGTGGGGCCGGCACTCAAGCCCCGAAATCTTCTCAGAACCGAGATACAAAACGCCAGGAGACTTGCGCCGCGCCGCTGCCGCTTCACAAGATCCTGCACCCCTCCCTCCCCAGGACCGCCCGCCTCAGCCACGAGCCCATCGGCAGCTGCTTCAACCAGCGCTCCCACGACTGCCGCCACTCCGGCGGCGCTCCCAACGTCGCCTCCCAGCACCCCTCTCAAGCGTGCGCCGACACGGCAGGCAAGCTCGTCCATCCTGGACTCCGCGCTACGTTCTGTCCAACTCGACTGATGGGGCCCCTCGTTCCGATTGATGTCAGCCCTACACATGCGAGCCAGCTGGGCTGGTCCCCCCGTCTCCATAGCCAGCCCACTTCGACAACGATTCTGCAGCTGCTCCGTCACCACAACGTCCACCCCCAACACTGATCCCAGCGGTAAAGTCCGCCCCGCATTCCCGACCGCCTCCCAGACCGTGCTGCACTCTGGGCGCGCCCGTGCTGCCGCCTCCCACGCCCTCACGTCCTGCAGCTGTCCGTACTGCACCCGCAGCCGTGCCATCAAGCCCGCTGCGGCCTCGCGAGTGCGCATGGCTCCTTGGCAGCCGCGACTGACCAGCGCCGACAGCAAGTCTGGCAGGCGGTCCATGGCGGCAAAGAGAGGGGCATAGAGCAACAGAAGCGCAAGCAAGCACTCGTCGGGACAGGCAGCTTCTTGCTTGGCGCCGCCTGGAGGACTTGCCAAGTCTTGTGCTCCATGCGTCTTGTCAGATGAGCGGTTGCTGGCCAGGTGGTCCAGGAGCAGGTCCAGCAGTGCGCCGTGCTGCTGCAGTGCGTCGAGCAGGTACGCCCCGCGCAGCAGCACAGGACAGCGCACCACACCACCAGCCCAGCTGCCGCCCGTCCCCAGAGAAACCTCAGGCTCAGCTTCGCTCCACACTTCGCTGTGCTCTGCCATGCCGGCTTTCTCGCTCTTTCTGTCGTGCCATCGCACCTCCTCCTCCCTCCCAGCTGCTTCGTGTTGCCCTCTCCAAGCCCCACTGGTGTGGCCCTGCGTCTGCTCGCCTTCACCGCTCAGAGCTGCCCGTATGCTCTCCACCACCCAAGACCCCACCTCCCGCTTATCTAAAAAGGGAAGCCCTCCAATGGCTCCCTCCACCTCTCCCCAGCTCCATACACTTGGGTCCTCTTGAATCCTTCCCAGCCCCGCCGTTCCTAAAGGCGTTCCGTCAACCTCCATTGCCCCTCTCCCTTCTTCCTTCCTCAAATCTTCTATCATGTCCTCCCTCGTGCCGCTTACTTCCTGGACCCTCCAATCGTTTTCCGCGCTTTTCCGCAGCCACCACCGATCTACTGCCACAAGTTCAGTCCCCCTCTCCTTCCCCACGCTGTGCTCCATCTTTTGTCGTTTGGCCGGCCGATGTCGCGCCTCTGCTCCTTCATTGTTCCCACTGCCGTCCCTACTTCCAGGTAGCTCCAGGACCGCCCGGATAGCCCGCTCCACGCGGGCTCTTTGCCGCCGTCTCTCTTCTTCCCCGCTCTGTTCCAGCTTTGCCCCGCCCCCCCGGAGTTTCCGTTGCCCTGCAGCAAGTGCAGCACGCCTCTCCATCTGCAGTTCTGACTTCCCGTCCCTGTTCACTTCTTCCCCTGCTGGCAGCTGTTCCAGGCAGCCCCGCAGCTTCCTTGCGCAGGCCCGCTCGCTGGCGGAGGCGCGTCGCTCCAGGGCCCCGTCAGCGACCAGCTGGCGCGCAAAGCGCACGGGGTCCAGCAGGCCTCGCCGCACCAGCTCCGCCAGCAGGGCCTCCTGCAGGCCCTGGCCCACATCAGTGGTGGGGGCCTCGCAGCGCTGCAGCCAATCCACCAACAACTCATGGAGCAGGTCGGCCCTGGCCTCTGGCTCTCTGCTGCTCCCCGTTTGCTCCTTACTGAGTCGCCAAAGAATTGCTGCCGCGAGGTACACTCGGGCGAGTGCCAGGGTGCCAGTCACGGCCACGCAAGAGTGGGCCGCGTCATCCGACCTCAGCAGCCCCCCTTCCACCGGCTCCTCGCTCAAGCGTTCCTGCCCGCTGCCTACGCCCCCTGTCTTCTCCGCCTCGTTCCTGCTAGGATGGATCGCCCATTCGCAGACCAGCCCCACAGCTGCGCGCAGCTTTCCCCGCCCCTCCCACTCCTCTCCGCCATCCCAGTCTCTGCTAACCAGTGGATCGGAAAAGGAGGTGCACGCAGCTCCAACATCCCCTAACAGCAGGGCCTTGTCTAGCGCCGCAATCACCTTCGCCTCATTATTTCTAAGCACGATCGGATTCACCGCCGCTGCCAGCAACGCCCTTTTTCGTAGGACACCCCTTTGCACTTCCTCCAAGACCTCAGTATCTTGATACGCCACCAATGCACCTTCCCCTTTCCCCTCAACCACCCCCGGCCTCTTTCCACATGACAACATGTAGCTGGGCAAGGGAAGAGCCCCAACACCCAGGAACGAGTCCGGAGATGCCACCAAAACACAGCGCACCAACCCACCCAGCCGCAGCGCCACTTGCGAGTCGCTCACAGCGCTCGCTCGATCTGGGGCTTCTTCCATGAGACACAGCTGCTCCAGCGAGGACAGTGCAGCGCCCGTGATCTGCTCCAGGTGTGTCTGCGGGGTGGCCCACAGTGCCCCATCCAGGAGCGCTTCCACCAGCGGCAGAAGCAGGCCCACCCGCGCCACCCCCCGCCCCATATCGCCAAACTGGGCCAGCACCCACTCCCCCAGCGCCGTGCTGTTCACCAGGCCCTCCCCGCAGTGCGCCACTGCCAGCGCCATCAGCTGCGCCCACTGCTCCCCAGGCAGACCACCCCCCAGGCCCCCCCCCGCCCCAGGGCTGCTTTGTCCTGCCAAGGGAGAGGTGACCGGGGAGAAGCTGAGCCGGCCCAGCTTCCCCGCTGCCCCCCCTGCGCTGTGCGCCTCCCCTGCCGCCTGCGCGAGTGCGTCATCGAGCGCGGCCAGCAGGTCCCGCGTCCAGGCGTCCGTCCGCTTGGCCTGGCTTTTGTCTCCCAGCGGGCTGCTGCTGGTGCTGCCCCCCCCCCAGCCCCCCCCATCTGAAGGGGCCGCACCTGGCCCAGGTAGCACACCTTGACCACCCAGGTGGCGCGCCCCACCGGCAGCCGCGCGCGCAGGATGCCCTCCACCAGGGGCCGCCCATAAAAGCCTGCCGGCACGCTGTCCGCCAGCTGGCGCAATGGCTTCCCCAGGGCCACCTCCGCCAGCCAGCGCTGGCGCGCCTCCTCCGAAGGGGCGGGCTTGACCTCGGGGTGGGCGCCCGGGCGGGCCAGGAGCGGCCCCGCAAGGGGCACGCCAAAGACCTGCCCCGCCTTGCGCTTGCGGGCAAGGGTGGAGGCGAGGGCGCGGAAGCGGGCGCGCAGCGCGGCACGGCAGCGCTGGAGGCCCTGGCGCGTCCAGAGGGCCTGCGCGGAGACGAGGCTGTAGAGCACCTCGCGCGACTCCTCGATGGCGGGGACGGCTTCCTTGTAGCCTGCACTGACCGTCTCCCGCGACAGCACCAGCTCGGGGTCATCGCTGGAGGGGGGGTAGAAGTCGGCGGGGCCCAGCCTGCACAGAAGGAACGTGTGGGCATGCAAGACTGACGTAGAGCTCCAGGAGTGAGATGCTTTCTCGAGGGGGCAGAACGTTTCTGAGGCTGCGGAACGGGCCGTCAACAAAGACTGTGCCCCTGAGTAAACAACCACAAGCATTCTGTCAGACTGGTGGACATTAAAAAGGAAGAAGAGCTTCTTTCAACCCAAAAAGCCCTCTGCAGAGTTTGGGACACCCTTTGAAAGGACACATTGTTTCACCTTATTGATGTCAAGATTGATTGGAGCTCAAGGGATTTCTCACCTAGAATTGAGAGGCTCTCGATCGGAACTCAGGACATACGGCTGCAACTGTGGGGGGTCATGGGCCCGCCTGCACAAGCAATATCCAGTGTCATCAGCTGAGCCAGGTGGGTGCCCCAGTCTAAGCCGCAGGTCTGACACTGGCTGGGCTCACTGTTTGAGGCAGGGGAGGGTCTTCCTACGTTGGACTACCTTACACCTTACACCAGCGTATGGCTTCCTGCCCAACCAAAAAGTCAGCACTCGACGAACATATCAGCACTGGCAGTGCATGAATGCAGCTCAGCTCAGTAACATGAGGGCAGGATAGAGAACGCTGTGCAAGCAGATACTGTTTGCACAGCTGAGACACAAATTGCACACACCGCAGTGCCATCTTTTCAGTGAGCAAGGCCTTCGGTAGACCTTTTCGACTCAAATCACGTGTTCACCAGGTGGGCAGCTCCCAATCATTTTGCCAGCAGTCCCATAGCTGCCCAAGACGTCACGAAATGCTGCACATCTTTGCCAGCATTGCAACAGGCCCCCTTGCAGCACCGGTAAACTACTGCAAACGGCCCACACTACTCTCCACAATGTGGCTGCCTGATTTACCTTGTTGCCTGCACCTGAATGAAGGTAGGCGTCCCTGGTTTGCATGCGGCTCACCTCTGGCTGCGCTGGTTGGCTGCCTCTTCCCGGGCGCCCCCCCGCTGCATTGCGGTGCATCAGCAGAGCCCACCCAGGCCCCCCTGCTGCCTGGCAATCGGTCCTTCAGGAGGCAGGCCCATGCCGATAAAATGGTCAAAGACAACTGCAAGCAGACACCCCCTGGTTTTGCTCTTTCCCGCAGACACGCTGGTGCCTCCAAGTCCTGGTAATTGTGCATTCTATCCCTGCACTGGCCGAAAGAGGGAGTGGCCAAAGCTCCATTCACAAACTATGTGGCGACAGGAACAAGATGGGAGCAGCTGCATCGCCCCTCGAAATTGATCGCGATGGGAACAAACCATGAGCTGTCGACACGAGGGTTCCGCGCCATGGCCCATGCGTAGAACTACAAGCGAAACTTACGGAACTGCGCACCGTCGTTGCTTTTTCCCGCACAAAAGCACCGGTATTACCGTAAGAGGAGGTCATTGGTTGACTCATATACGACTTAGACTCAGACGCCCCATCAACCATCTAGAAAGTTCGGTCCTGTCTGAGAAAAACCTTGCACACATGTGCGCAAAGAACTCGGTCGACCGTTTAGGTGGACGGGGGAGCAGGGCACGTCACTCAACGTTGTGCAGACCCAGCCTGAGGTCACCTCTAGAGGTGTGTTCTATGCAAGACTCCA